GATTTGAACCGGTGACCTTCTTGCTGAGAGGCATCAGCTCTACCAACTGAGCCACCGTGCCGCCCGTCCTTCTGCCATGTCACATCTAAAACAATGAGGTCATTTATGTGGGGTAATATACAGCTGATGTAAAAATTTGAACTGTACTGGTCTAAACTGAGTATTTAGAGTAGAGGTAACCCCTTCTTATAGGTTTTTCCATAACTGCCTTTCAATAGAGATCCCTAAGTCCTTTTCCCATTTAATCCCTGAACTATCCATACCAGTTATTAATAAATTTGATAAAAGGTTTGTGTAGACCTTTGAGATGATGGCTGGCACACATACTCGACCGGAGACCTGGGAGGTAACTTCCAATTTGTTTTCTGATTGGTTCTAATCAAATCATGTAACTGGAGATAGCTAAAGACGTCTTTCTTATTCAACTCTTTTATATTTTCTGAACAACTTTCATGACAATCTGTTGAACCAAAACTGATTTTTGAAGCCCTGGAACAGGGATGATTTAACTGGGTGTAAAACTGCCATAACTTCCTGTTTCTCAACCAATTTAATCCAGTTGTGTTTTTAAGCTGTAAAATAATAATTTAAAAAAAATTTAATTAGTTTCAATACAATTAGGGAACTTCATTGTTTTGTCACCTAACTAACGAAAAGAAATCTGTGCCAATTGAAACTGAATATAAAATGTTGAGAATGCATCTGTGTTTGCATAATGTGGAATTAAATACATTGGTTTGAAAATTAATTTTACTAATTGAAACTGAATTTAATTATCTGAATCTGAATTAATTTGCTTTGTTGTTTGTTGTTTTAAAATTTCAGATCAATTACTTTAACTTTCAGTTCTGTAATTAAATTTCAATTCACAAATTCATTTTTTGTGTCACCAGTGCATTTAATTTCACATTACACAAATACAGATTCAGTTTTTTCCACAGTCGTTCATCATTATAAGATGATCCCAGTCCTAAACACTGGTAACAACTACAAACATGTCACTTAGGTACAGTCTAACATTTTGCAATACCTCTTGCACATCTTAGTCTCCATTGCAGAAATGTTTTTCACAGCTAACACACAGTTTAAGTTCACTGCAGCTACACTTCAAACAATGACCTGTCTCAGTCAGGACACAGGAGCACAACATCACCGTGCATCAGAAAACACAGGGAGAACCCACCTGTCATGTGGTGTGTTTACAGTGTTTTACCTGCCTGTCAGGTGTAACTGCACAGCCTGCAGGCAGGTTGTTTCACACACAGCAGAGAAATGATGGCAGTGACATCACTTTATACAATCACACAAACATCACTGAGGCCTGACAGCCACATCAACAAACTACAACTCAAACATTTTATCATCTCATTTTACTGATAAAAAGATATTGTCCCGGCCGACCTGAACATACATCTCATGATATCAATGAATGTTAAAGATGACTCTTCTAATCTGTTAAACAATTTAACCAAGCTGTGCGCTAGCGTTAGCTACATAAAAACAACGGTACTGCAGTCACAGTGTTGACATCAGTCATTAACCTACCCTCACTAACAACATTAATAAATAACCCGAGTCGTTTTTTTGTTATTATTAAAGCTAATAAACTGATTCAAACCAGTGTGTGTGTTAGCTGGCTCTGTTTAGCCTGTCTGTCTTTATTCCAACACCATTATGTTGGCTACATGCTAACGTTAGCATCAGTGGCTCTGCCTGTATTTTAACTACACAATGTAAAACAGGCGCTGGTACAGATAACTAAGGACAAGAACCACCGAGTTAGTTTATCCTTACCGAAGAGTAGGACCCACACAAGCCGTGTCGGTACTCTCAATCTCCTGCAGGATCCGTTCGTGCTCCGTTATACACTCCATGGTTTCAGTATCCGCCATGATTGTTGTGTTACAGTGCAGCAGCTGCAGCAGCGCTCTGACTGCAGGTCTGACTGCAGGTCTGACTGCAGGTCAGTACAGTAGGACTCTGACTGCAGGTCTGACTGCAGGTCAGTACAGCAGGACTCTGACTGCAGGTCAGTGCAGGTCAGTGCAGTAGGACTCTGACTGCAGGTCAGTGTAGGTCAGTGCAGGTCAGTGCAGTAGGACTCTGACTGCAGGTCAGTACAGGTCTGTGCAGGTCAGTGCAGCAGGACTCTGACTGCAGGTCAGTGCAGGTCAGTGCAGGTCAGTGCAGTAGGACTCTGACTGCAGGTCAGTGTAGGTCAGTGCAGGTCAGTGCAGTAGGACTCTGACTGCAGGTCAGTACAGGTCAGTACAGCAGGACTCTGACTGCAGGTCAGTACAGGTCAGTACAGCAGGACTCTGACTGCAGGTCAGTACAGGTCAGTA